GCCTCGCTAGTAGTAACAGGTGCCTTACTGGTAGTAACAAAAAGCTATTAGTAACAAGTGCCTCGCTAGTAGTAACAGGTGCCTTACTGGTAGTAACAAAAGGCTATTAGAATTATATAGAACTAAAATTACTGGATAATCTATCTTGTTCCCAGTAGCGTTCTTGCTCCTAGTAGCGATGCCAGGAGCCCCTAGTAGCGTTCTTGCTCCTAGTAGCGATGCCAGGAGCCCCTAGTAGCTTCTTGTTCCTAGTGGCTTCTTGTTTTTCAAAAAACTCTGGAAGAACTCACACCTCACATTGTGTTGGCCCTATGTTTCCCTATGTGTCCATGTCTTTTCATGTTGGACCTCTCGTTCTTTCTTTCTGAGATGTTTTCAATAGACCCCTTCGCTTTTCGCAGTGGGAGGCAGCCGCAAACATGCGGAAGGAAAAGGGGTACATGTCATGTTCGAGACAAGAGTTGCACATTGCTCCAAGTCAAGCCATCCTTGCAAATGCCTTCGTCAAAATAATGCTTGAGATGGGAGAATGAGTCTGTAGACTTTCAACGGGATGCTCCGTTATCTGCCACTTTTTCAGTTGATTGGAGATGGGAGCCATTTCAGAAACGTCGTGCTGTTCCGACATCCACTGCTTGGACGGGCACATTTACCCCAGGATGGTTCTGAGGATATCAAGCAAGATGATGGGCTGAATTCTCGGAACTATGAACTAAGTTATACGTTTATGTTCGTTTTCTTGATCCCATTGGATCGCTATATTCACTAGTAGACGCATGACTACACGATCACCGCGGCATTTGGCCAGGGGGTCTTGTTGGTCTACGAGGATCCGGGTGTGCAATGGGCCGGGACCTCGGGACCTCGTGACCTCGATGACCTCTACCCTAGTAGCTTCTTGTTACTACTAGTAAGGCACTTGTTACTAGAAGCGATGCACTTATTCCTAGTAGCTTCTTGTTACTAGTAGCGTTCTTGTTCCTATTAGCGACGCCAGGAGCCCCTAGTAGCTTCTTGTTATTGCAATGGCCTCCACCCTAATAGCCCCGGGGATCGACAAAGGATCCACCGGTGTTCATGTTTTCAGACAATAAGCCTGCACAGATCCTGTTTTGGAGGGCTTAGGTCAGCACCAAGTGATACCAAGTATCTCGAAATGGGTTGCGTCAGTGGTGAGGCAGAGCGTAAAAAGCAAACCAAAGATTGATTCTATAGTACTATAGTTGCCCCAAAAAAGAGCTACTTATAGAATATCACTCTTCCTCAAGAGTACGTACGGCACCCTTCGTCTATAAAGATATCACCTCCGTCACCTACTAGGAATGGCCTCCAACCTAATAGCGATGGCCTCCAACCTACTAGCGATGGCCTCAGTCACCTACTTTCTCATTTTTGGCTGCCTCGAGTCGCTTGTGTGGGTTCCCGAGGTGCATGCCTTGTATTTTGCCGGGGGGCCTCAAGGGGGGAAGCGATGTGAAGATTCATTTGGGCGTCTTCAACTTCCGAGAGACATCGAAGACATTCTCCAAGATCAGATCAGATCAGATCTTGTGGCCTTTCTGTGCATCCCCTGAAATTGCAACACTTCCATCCACTTCCTGACAGGCGGTTCCAAAGCTAGTTGCTGCTCATTTGGCCATGTAACAACGACATTCTAAGCATGATGAACCCATATCCTCCATGCTGAGACTAGTGCCAACTTATGGTCGACAGACATAGCTGCGCATATCGGCCATTCTCTTGGGAAGGCCACACGATCAAAGAAATTGAAACATTCTGACGATATTTTCTACTGAAAAGCTATATATATATATATGAATCGAGCATGTTCCTTCGCAAAACTAGAGAACAAAGATGAACACAGAACCCTTTCATCAGACTTTCATTCCTTTCAGCCAGCAAGGCAACACTCTTAGTTGTCCCGGTGTGCCTTGCAAAGGGTCCCCTTTGGAAGAAAAAGAGGATCCCGCCGTCCAACGCACGAGATCTTGACGATCTTCACCACGGTGGGCTTCGGTGACATGAGCGCCTTCACCACGG